CGAGCAGTTACTGTGCACTGGGCACAATGCTGAGGAACTTCCCATGGATTTTACCGTTTAATTCTCATGACAATGTTGGGTGAGAGGCATCATTATTGAGCTGGGGTTGAATTCTAAATCAACTACCTGCTAGCCGGTGACTGTGAGAAAATGTCTGCATTGCTCTGGATCTCAGTTTCCTCATCTGTGAAATGAAGATAATAATAAGACATGGTTTGTAGAATTGTTATGAGGACTCAATGAAAATTTAAATGGAAATGTAGACTATGGTGCCTGGTGCATAGTAAGTCTGAGAAATGTTAACTGTTATTATTATGTTACTATTAGCAGTTCTGTCACAACCATTATCACCACATCGGTGAGAATGCTTTAGACCAGTGGTTCTCACCTGCGGAGATTTTGTCCCACTGGGGGAGCCTATGGAAATGTCTGGAGACTTGTTTGGTTTTCACAACTAGGGGGTGGGGAGGGGAGAGAGGGAATACGAGTGGCACCTGATGGGTAGAAGCCAATGATGCTGCTAAACATCTTTCAGTACACAGGCGGCCACTCTACAAGAAAGGATTGTTTGACCCAAATCTTGATTATGAAAAAAAAAAAAACCCAGCAACTTAGGTTTAGTGTTTGTTATATGTTTCAAATATGAGGAGAATGTAGGAGAAAAGGAGAAAAGTCATTGCTTAATTTTAACAGTGCCAAATAACAAAGTTTATCCATACTTTTCCAAAAATTATCAATTATTTTAAGTTGAATACTTCCAAGTTTAATTATTGCCCTAAAATGTCAATAGTGCTAGGTTTGATAAACCCTGCTTCAGGCTACATGTAATCTTAAACTTCTTCAGTAAGGGAACACACCATCACACAGAGCAGGGAACACAGTGGTATGACAGTTTCAAATGTTGACTGATTTAGCAGCCCCACAACCCCATAGATGTTACTGGTTCTTTGTTTTTCCCCGTCCTGATATCCTCAGTATTGGCTGGTCATAGGTATCTCTGGCAGGTCCAGAGGTCACATCTGCACAAGAAAACATCTGGCAGTAAAATAAAAAGATCTTTTCCTGTGGCTTTCACTTGGGTTAAGGAAATGTTTCACAAAACACATCAACGACTTTCTCCCAGATCAAATGACATGAATCTCAAGACAATTCCTAAATCAATCACTTAAAAGGAGAATAGAATTGTCATGCTTGGAGATGAGAGTTCACTGCAATGTACACTGTAGTATTATTATATTAATTATCTCATCATTATCATCATTGCTATCGTCATTGTCCCCATTTTATATACAGGGAAGTGGAGAATTAGTAATGTTTTTAAAAATCTTGCTTAGTTCACATGGCTATTATGTGGTAGATACAGGATATGAAAGCAGGCTGTCTTACTCATGAGCTTTATCTACTTATTTCTTAAAGATATGTAATAGTATGGGTATTAGTCAGGGTTCTCTAGAGAGACAGAACCAATAGGATATGGATACAAATATATGAGAGGGGATTTATTAGGGGAATTGGCTCATGTGACTGTGAAGGCTGAGGAGTCCCACAAAAGGCCGTCTGTAAACTGGATGCTGGTAGCGTGGCTCAGTCCAATTCTGGAACCAGGGAAGCTGATGGTGTGATTCTCAGTCCAAGGCCAAAGGTCTGAGAGCTGGGAGTGCCACTGGTGTAAATCCTGGTACCCAAAGGATAGGGAGTCTCGAGTTTGGATATCCACAGACAGGAGAGAAGAGTGTATTCCAGCTCAAGAGGAAGTAGAGTGAGGATTTGTCCTTTCCTCTGTTTTTGTTTTCTCCAGACTCCCAGTGGATTGGATGGTTTCTGCCCATATTGAGGGTGGATCCTTCTCAACCAGTCCACTCAGGCTCACATACTAATCTCTTCTGGAAACACCCTCATAGCCACACCCCAGAATAATGCCTTACCAGGTTTCTATGTAATATTTAGTCAAGTTGACACCTAAAATTAACCTTCACAGTATGTTTCTTAAAGATATGATACATGGCACATAAACTAACCTTCTCTAAACCTAAGACACAACTTAGTACTATTTATTATTGGCCAAACATTCAGGAATATTTACTAGATTCTCATTAAGCTCAAAATATTTGTTTCCAAGATGCTTTTTATACAAACAGGTTCCCTTTGGTACTACAGATTACTGATTCTCCCTTTTTATTTTTCTTACTGCAAGACCAATGGACTAGGAATCTCTGCTCTTAAGATCATAACTCATTGACATGATTCTAAGCTTGCCTACAGGGAGTATGAGTTTTAGTAAACAGAATGACAAGATAAATCATGATTTATATCTCATGAAGCCAGCTGTTACTCAAAACAGACTTAGTTTTGAGTCTTGTCCTAATCATTTGCCAGGTTTGTGGGCTTGGTCAAGTCACCAAATTGCCCCTTTCTTTTAAAGAAAAAATAAAAGGAAGTAATAGTATTACTTACACCTAGAGTAGAACTGTGAGGATTAAATGAGATAATACAACTAAAGAGTTTATATAGTAAATTCCACAAGATTGTTATTTTTATTACCATTGTTCAGGATGCTATTTTTGTGGTCATTACTTTTTTCTTCACCATCATTTGGGGAACATAAGCAGGAGAGGAAAAGAGACAAGCCCAAGGAGAAGAGGAGAAACCATCATGTTTACTATTTCAAAGGCATTTTAAAACAGAGCATGAAAGTTTTTGTCATTTTACAAAAAGGGAACTCATTCCTGGATACTGGATAGCTCATTCTCAGTATTAAATGTCTTGGTTAACATCAAAGCCCTTGAACTACATGATAGATAGTGAGTTAGTTCAACTAATCAATAACTATATATTGAGTATCTGCCATGTGCCCAAGGACTGAGGGGGGAATTGAGAATATAAGGTGCAATCCATTCCCCTGTGGTCCTCAGACTGTTTTAATTAGTTCATTAGTTGACCCAGACCGTGATAAAGCTTTCAGGTAAGCCTGGTAACTGAGAACTCAAGAGCAAGACAGGTCTTACATAAGATTAAGATTGTGCAAAGAATTCTTACTGAATCCAGAGTCATTTATAAATAAATTTGAGTATAGCATCCTCTCTTCTGTGACTGCTATTGAAAGGTATTTGTGGGAGGAGAAATGAGAGGATGTTTGGTTATGCCGACTTTTTTTAATTTGCTTTTTTCATCCTTCTCCCATCCTAATATATCGCTGATCATCCCTAAAAATCCTAGAGAATTTTGGAATAATCTAGCAATCCCTAGAATTCACTAGACGTTGACACTGACCACCTGGAAAATTTCTGAAACAAATATAAGACAATAATGGGAACAAATGGTCATTGAACTTCAGTAGAGGTAGAGAAGTGTCCAGGGCATTGGTGGTAGGAGTTATGGTGGTAGTAGGTCTTGCCAAGCCTTACTGTGATTCAGTCAAAGGCTCTCCACTGCCCTGTCGTAAAGAAAATATGTCTTACAATTCATTTCAGGGCTCTTAATGAGCTTTCCCCAGCCTACGTCTTTAGCTTCATCTTCTACACTCTTGCCCGCCCTGCCCCCCTTCAGCCCCTTGAACTCAATATGACTCTGTTCATATTGACCAGATTTGCTGTTCCTCGAAGGAGCTGTGCTCTGTCTGGCTTCAAGCACTTTTATAATCTGTATTCTTCCCCAGGAATATCCTTCACCCAGCTCTTTAGGTAATCCTACTTATCTTGTCTGTGTAGAGGTGATCTCCTCTAGAAAGCTTTGCCTGACCTTCACCCTAACCCCATTACTAGCCATATGTTTTCAATGCATTACTGGCCAAATCTTTCAAAACTGTTGCAATCTCTATTTATGCACCAGCTTACACTATTAGATTATAAGCTTCTTGAGTGCAGAGACTGTGTCTAGTTTACATACTAAATGGATTATGTGAGGGACTAGTCTTGAGAAAGATGCATGTCTGATGGCTGGAAGAACGAAGTTCTAAATGGACGGAGAGAAGGTTGATTTCTCAGCCCATCCTGAAGTGGTTAGCCAATTTAGACAGCAGTCTACTACAAGGCAGAAGGATGGTTCACTAAACATGTGGCTGGCCCTATGCACTGGAAAACAAGTGTTTTACATCAAGGACCTTTCAGTTTAATGGAGGAGAACAACATTTACAATAGGCTGAGACAAGTGATATGATAAAGTTAAATATAGATGAAAGAGGCCCTTATCTGCACATGGCAGGGAGAAAGTGATGTCCCAGTAGATATCTAAAAGATACATAGAAGTTATCCAGGAAAAGCTAATCCATGGGAGTATTCCAGGTTGGAGGAACAACATAAGCAAAGGATTGGAAATGAGCAAGAGAAAGGCACCCTTGGACTAAAGGGTCAATTTTAAAAGAGGCAGATAATCCAGAAGCTTGTAACCCATGTGGAAGACTTTAGATCTTATCTTGGGGAACAATGAAGAGGCATAGGAAGATTCTAAGTTGGAAAGTGAGATGGAAAAATTTACAATTTAGATAGCTCTCAGCCAAGCAAGAGGCTGCTAGTCATTTTTTTTTTTTTTTGTACCAGCTTTATGGATGACACCATTTTTGACATCTACTTATATATCACACATTGCAAAGTATTTTTCATGTCCAGTAGGAGGAGCTAAAGTCTCCAGGTTCTTTGTAAGGGTAGCTGGGTAATTCTCTGCCCTGGGTTGTCCTGGGAGCTGTGTACCTTTCATTACCTTTCAGTGGCTTAATATGGAGAAATGACAGAAAAACTCTACCTGGAATGGGAAAGGTTATTGTGAAAAAGAAACTAGTACTTTTCAAATTAATAGAATAATACCATGCTATATCCATCTCTACTCTAATTTTGTTTTAAATTGTAATGGATGTCTCCCACACACATACTAAGCTTTCTTAAGCCATGCAGCAATACAGGTACCAGTGAATCATGCCTAACACTCATTGCTAATATATCTAAGCCTGTTTCTACTCTAAAATAAATAAATCAGAGCAGACTCAGATTGACCTTGATTTTTAGATAGTTGAATATGTTTTATTTCATTTCCAATGGTAAAAATATATATTAAAAAATAATCAAAGGGCCCAGCAATTACACATTTTAATGAAACCACAGCCAGTGTTTCCGCCTTGAATGATTGCTTTCATTTTTTCCTTTCTGGAATAAAAAGGAAGAAATATAAGAAACAATTCCTGTTGGTGAATTTGTACAAAACATTATATTTCAGCAGAACTTTCCATTAACTGCCATTTATTCCTTCTCTCATTATTGATAATTTGTTTTTAAATTGAGAATACCTCTTTTACAACCCATCTCATCTCCCTGCACGGCTAGACAATTGCATTCAAATTTGGTGGTATTCCCATTGTAAACAGTTTCTGGGGGAAATGATTATGATGTTACTAACCCAGATTTATGGCTTCATTGTGCTATCACTGAAGGATAAAAGACTAGAATAAAGAAAAAAAAAGTTATTTACATACAAATATATTATTATCAAAGACAGTCCTAAGGAAACATATGGTAAGTACTAACCCAAATTATAAAATCACGGGGCCAATGATAAAGAGGTCTTTCTGGATTTTACAAACATTTTCTCAAATAATAAAATATTGCATGGTTTTTAAAATTCCAGTTGTAGGTAGAAGTTCCCTCTCTGTGTTTTATTGTAATGTTGGAAGAGACCCTAGCTTGATAGGACTGCAGAGGAGCTATTGAATCTGCTATTTGTTAGGCACTAGCAAATACATATGTCACAAAATAATACATGTGGCATGGTCCCTACTTTTGGAAATCCTACAGTCCTACTTGGAAGAGGAGCCATGCTGTAAGTACAGAAATAATCAAACCATAGGTCTGGGAAACGAAAAAGAGCCTCAGATCAAGGCTGGAATCTGGCCTTGTCCAATCCCACCTGCCCTTCGGAAGGCAGGCTGGTACAGTCGTTCACCACATGGGATCAGGTAGACCTACCTGGGGTTCCTGGTTGCTTGCTGTCTATGTAACCTTGAGCAAATTATAATTCACAGGACCTCAAATTTTATCGTGCAACCCAATTGCCTGGAATGTTTGTAAAATAAATAAATAATAAAGAAAGAAAAGAAAAGGAAGGAAGGAAGGAAGGAAGGAAGGAAGGAAGGAGAGAGAGAGAGAGAGAGAGAGAGAGAGAGAGAGAGAGAGAGAGAGAGA